CATTAGAGGACAAGTATCGTTTTTCCGCGTACTGTGGCCCTCCGTTCCGGAATTACTTTCCCTTTCCACATACCTTCCACGGGGGCTACAGTTTTCTAACATATTATTTTGATATTCGTAGTGAAGCATGGGGACAATGAGAGGACGAACCCTATCTTATGCGAAATAAGGGCGTATGTTGCATAGCAACCACTTGTTCAGACGATACGTATACTCACCGTAAGGATTTACTCCACTGAGGTCATGGGAGGACAAACATCAATATTCAACATTTCGTGGAATTCCGTTCCGGGGTTATCTCCCTTTTCCACAGACCTTGTGAAAGCGAAAGAGGCTAGAGTTTTCTAACATATTTTTTCATATTCGATGTGAAGCAATTGGGACAATGAGACAATGAACCCGATCTTATGCAAAATATGGGCGTATGTTGCATAGCAACCACTTGCTCATAGACGATGCATCTACTTATGAATGTTAATCCCAATAAATTAGATTGATGTCAAACAATAATATTCGGGATTCGCCACTAAAAGAGAACGATCTATCTTGCATCGGACCATTTCTTCGTTGGGTGACCGATTAGCACGGAGACGACCGTTTCTAAAGCGCGTAGGGTGCTGACTGGTTTGTTAGAGTGTACATTGTCAATAACATATGGAAATTATTGTCTATAATGATACACAACTAACCAATACATGAAGAGGTCAGTTGTTCATAGTATTCAAGGAGCCACATCTCTATTCACTGGCACCTAGAAATGGACACAAATGGGTCGCAACGCATATAATAATGTAATGTGAATGTATCTAAACTGATTTACATTCAATCGATTCTGTTTTTTACTGTAATTTCTAATCAGTTTTGTCCGGCGAAATACGCGAAGAGTCCAAATTGAATGGTAGTTATTCCAGTCTACACCGGTAGTATTCTCCTGTGGGATGTTTAGCCTCCTTCACCGAGTCGTTTCATTAAAAATGGCGCCCGGAAGCATTCTGACAAGCGATTCATGTACCAATTTTAAAATTTTCATTGCCCATCATTTCACGGTAAGATAAAAACATCAAAGTTGATTTAAATTGACCAATAGGTCATGTTTGCAATGTCGAAGACTGTGGATGATATTGAATTAGAGACTTGCCTCCTTTAAGTATTGGGTTTCGGTGCATCTAATAAATGTTACTATGCTATAATGTAATATATGTTTGATAAACATTATAAATTATGAAGCACTTTGTCACACGCAGGCTTTCAGAAGCGCTGTAAAACATGCATTACAACAAAAAAGAAGTTAAAAATAATAAAAAAAAGTGTGTTTCATGGTCGTTATCCAAAACTCCCACAACGTCCAAAGGTCGATCTATCATGAAGGACACCAACAACACAACAGGTCTTCTTTTTTTACAGACCAGATATACTATTCAAAAAAAGTAGGGGATATTTGATTTTGGGGGCATAATACTAAAATATGCAAATGACTACGAAAAAAGTTACTATAGAACCTAACAGAAGAAACATTTCCAGTTACATGTGACGCCCAAACGCACCAATAGCTACCGCATGGAATGCAGGTGATGCTTGGGATCATCATGGGGGTCCAACCCAAGATTTGCACGACTCTGACTTTGAATGTTACAGTCATTGTGGCATTGAATTCCAGGGTGGAAACATCAGTTTAATTGTTTTAGTGACCAGAAAACAAATTTTGATATGCGTCGGCTTACCCAAAATGAAAGATTACGTGCCCTTGGCATGCTACAGATCGGCACAACACAGGCGGTTGTGGCGCGGACGATGAATGTTTCTCAGTCTGTCATAAGCAGGCTATGGTCCAGATACCGTGATACACAATCTGTACAGGACAGACCACGCTCAGGTCGACCAAGGGCGACAACTCAAGCCCAGGATCGATTTATCCGTACCTTGGCCTTGAGAAATCGTGTCATCACAGCAAATCAGATCAGCGCTCGTCTTCAAACAGACACTGGTGTGAGAGTGAGTGGCCAGACGATTCGGAATCGACTGCATAGGGGTCACCTTCGCGCCCGACGTCCTCGCGTGATCCCTTGTTTGAGAGATCATCACATTCAGGCAAGACGTCGTTGGTGTAGGGATCGTCAACAGTTCACTGTTGATTTTTTGGACAGACGTAGGAGGGTGTGGCGTCGTCGAAACGAGCGCTTCCAAGACGTTAACGTCATCAGACATGATCGATTTGGGGGTGGTTCTGTTATGGTGTGGGGAGGCATCACTGTTGCTGGAAGAACGGCTTTACATGTTGTTGCAGGGCGTGTTACAGGCCAGTACTACCGGGACAACATCTTGGCAGTCCATGTTGTGCCGTTCGCAAGATGTCACAGGGCCAGGATCGTTACAGGTTACCTCCAACAACAGAACATCACCACATTACCTTGGCCAGCACTGAGTCCCGACCTCTCCCCCATCGAGCATGTCTGGGACATGCTTGGACAGAGGTTACGTCAACGTCAACAACATCCTGCCAATGTCCAAGAACTTGCTGCTGCGTTGCAACAGGAATGGGACAATCTGGACCAAAATGACCTTAGACGTCTCATTAGGAGTATGCCACGTCGGATCAATGCTTGTTTGGCAAACAGAGGAGGATTTACCCGTTACTGACTTGGTTGTGATGCTGTGGTAACTTTGCTGTTTGACCCCGGGTATCATTTTACCCTTATAATGGTCAGGCTGTGCCTTACTTAGTCTAACGATCATTTGGAATAAATCGATGAATGTGAACTTCATTTCATTTTGTCATTTGTTTCTTCGTCAGTTTCATTAGGTGACTTTAATAACACTTAAAAATCAAATATCCCCTACTTATTTTGAATAGTATATATAAAGATTTGAGATAAAATAATGTCGTCTGTGAAATCACACATTTTCTGATTCATGAAAGAAGATTAAAAAGAAATACACTGCGCCTATTGTAAAACTGTTCTCCTTTTTTTTATAAACTAGATATTATATACAGGTCTAAAAATATTAATGTAACCTTGATCGTGCGAGCCTATGCCATTGCCCATTACAAGAATTATTAAAAGCCAAGAAAAACGTTTTCCCTTTTTCATAAATAAGACATATAACGGCCTACTGAATATAACGGTAACCTTGATCGTTCGCGCCTTTGCCATTGTCCATTTCAAGATTTATTAAAAACTGGAAAAAGCGGAATACAGACGCCTACTACAAAACCGTCCTCCTTTATTTTAAGCTAGATAGTTATAGGTGGGAAAATGTAACCTTGATCGTGCGAGCCTTGCAAGCCACGTCGCATTTCAAGATTTATTAAAAGCTAGAAGAAGCGAAATATAAACGCCTAGAAAACAGTCCTTCATTTTTATAAGCTAGATATTTCATTTGCTTGAAAACGTTGAGAGAACCCTCAACGAAACGTCGCTTTAATTAAAATAGCAATTCTGTACCATATTATGTTTTTCTGTTTATTAGATATTTACAGGTAAAACGACGTAACCGTAGCCGTGCGAGCCTGTGCCATGTCGCATCTTAAGATTTGTTAAAAGCTGATAGAAACGAAATACGCCTAGAAACAGATCGGAAAAATAGTATCAATGCAACCTTGATCGCCTGTGAAATGACACGTTTCAAAGTATATAAAAAGCCGATAAAAAGGAAATACCGAAATAGAGATTTGTATTCATTTGCTTAACAGGCATAGAGATGGATTTAACCCATCTTACTCTAGTTGTTCTGCTACTGGGTGTTGATAAGGTCATCCCACAGACTGTCACCATAGATGCCCACAATGCTCAGGTGGTCCAGTATATTGATGTCCGATTCATAGGGGTTACACTTGATTCGTACTATTTTACAACTCATTTCAATCGTATTAACTTCAGGTAAGTTTCAATATTTCCTAGTATAACCTATGCAGTATTATTTAATCACATTCCGTAAAATTTGTCAGGGGTGTACCGTTCTATAGCTGTGGGTACCTTTATATTGGGAGTCGATGACATTAAGAGAGAGAGAGAGAGAGAGGTAACGTTCGCTTGACACAAACTAGGTCATTTCGGGACTAACATATGCTTTAATTTTATTTCAATATTCGCTTGTGCGTACGGGTCTTGAGCAGTGGAAGGAAACCGGAGGACAGGCGACCCTACTCCTTGTCACGTACAACCGGGGATTCGAAACCACGCCAGTTGACTTAATGACAGACCTTATGATACACCGCGCACGTGCTAACCATTCGGCCATCCATCCCCCCCCCCTCCCATGACATTAATGGCTGGAAAATAATACATCCGTATAAAATATCGTCGGTGTTCTCTTTGCGATGTGAGTAGATCAGTTCGTAAAAGTTGTGCTGGGTGTACATTTCACCGTTGTGGTTACTTGTATAGTTGAATTTTACTACATATGCTTACATTCGTATTTCGTGTAGCATATAGCAGATCATGACTCATGCTGGCATTACACAATGGGTTCTTTGGGTTGTATTCCTAATTGTTTTCAAATTTGAGTGAAGTCTGTGTCACTACAGACCCGGAACTGTAAAGCGCAGTGGACGCTTACGGCTATCACCCGGATCCATTCACTTTTTTTGAATTGTCTGTAAGTTTGTGTTTTCCTGAGTATGATGTCCTGTCCGTGTATTTGTTTTTGTGTAATTTTGTGTGGTGCAGTCCCCCTGCACTTACTATTAAAGACATACACTTGCATCTTAAGTATGGATTAAGTGATCATTTATTTGCAATGGAACTATTAAACTTTGACATTAAAGGCCAATGGCTGATAAATGATAACATTTTTGACCACCCTTTTCATTCGGCGCCGACAAGTAGGTCGTTAAACTGATTCCCGCTCTTAACATCCTTATCAAATCACGTCAGTGTTCTACATAGATACATGTCTATTTGTCAATCAGAACTATGGCCTTCAACAAAATATAGGGCAAGCTATTTTAAAGGATATAAGGAAAAGAGATTTAATTCAGATTGTTAACACCGTTTGGTGGCTGCTGGATGACTATTATGGGGATTGTTCATTGTGTATATATTGGTCTGTTTCTGGTGTTTTGTCTTAATGGAATCCAGTTACAGAGTGTCACCATTGATGTTCACAATTCCGGAGTTGCACAGCAAATTGATTCGAGATATATTGGGGTTACTCTTGATTCATATGAATTGAGAAATCATTTTAAACCCCTTAACTTTAAGTACGTTATGTATTATGCTATTTGAAAGCGAGACGGTGTTTCACTGCAGTCTCATATTTCTTTTAACGAACACTCATGTGCTACAAATCATAATTCGAATTGTTACCCAATTTATTATCTTTGTAAGATGGTCGATTCTGTGCTTCTCTTTTTAAGATGGAGGGCTGGATGGCCGAATGGTTAGCACGTGCGAGTTGTATCATTAGGTCCGTTACTGGTTTGGTTCCGATTCCTCGGTAGTATGTGACAAGGAGTGGGGTAGCCTGTCCAGCTTCGTTGGTTTTCTCCGGGTCCTCCGGTTTACTCCCACTGCTAAAGACCCCTACGCGCACGCGAATTATTGAAATAAAAATTGAACCATATGTTAGTCCCAAAATGACCTAGTTTGTGACGAGTAGACGTTACTCTCGCCCTCTATCACTCCATTTTAAGATAGTCTATCTATAAAATGTACGCACATGCTTTTATAGAAGTAGAATGTCTAGTTTGATGAGTAATAAAATTATTAGCCAAATTTCTGTTGCAATTTGTATTACAAATGATATCATTTTCCCGCTGATCACAGTTCTCGTATAATGAGATAAATTATTAATCCATAGCGTGTTGTATTTTTTGTCTTAGAAACTTCATATCTGATTTATTTTTCAGTTCACAGAGATTACTGACACTGGCTCGGGGATTAACGCCATGTTATTTACGACTTGGTGGCACGGATGCAGATTATGTAGTTTTTAACAAGAATAGTCATGTAGGAAGAGATGTTGATAAACGATTTATACTGAATGCAAATAAATATACATTTGGCAGTGAGTATTAGGATGCTCTCATAAGATCTGTATTTCGTTTCGATTTAAATCCCTATCAGTTATCTGTTGTTTTTTAAGGTTTGGGCTTCTTATTACTACCATTTGAATCCCCGGTTCGGTGAGTAGGATGTTAGGTCGCTAACCCGGAGGTACCATGTTCGATCCCAGCAATGGCCGAGAAAGTTCCCACTTGTCAGTGATGTAGGATGGAGAGTCTGGCTAGGGACAACGTATAGTCGTTCTGATTGGCGTGCATGTAACAGACCCCTTGAGAATAGGAATACGAAATAAGAGTAGGCCGTAGGGCCACTGTCCGGGCAAAATTTCCCTCAAGGTACACAACATGGCGTATGTTCGTCTTTATTTTCCCAGTATAGGAACAGAACAGTAGGACGTTAAATCCCATTTCATTTTATTTTAATACCATTCTTAATAAAAAGAGAAGTGTATTCTCAATGTCTACATGGAATGCTAGGTCGTGTCAATTTGACACAAACTGCTTTAGGATGCAGTTAGTTATTCTAATGTGAATATTAATGGAACTTAATCATTACACTGTTAACGTAATGGCCATGTAAAGCTTAATAGAAATGTAAATAATTATATTTCAATTACTTTTTATTCCCTAATCCTGATTTTAATCCATAATTTATGATTTATGATTTAACTAACATCATTTATAGGTTAGATGAATTCAGAACATTCAAATATATGAATCTGGGTGAAAATAGTTTCTTTGTTGCATGGAATAAAAGCCATAAGATAATGGTTAATATGATTTGATTACATTGTAAACAGTAATAATAATGTAAATTCTTACAATTATTGTAAGCCCCAGGTTTGGCGATAATAATTTAACTTTTCAGTGTGTTTATTAACAATAAATAATTTTTTTTCAGCCTCGGATTGGGATCGTGTAAATGGATTTGTAAAAAATGCGGGATTGGACTTTATCTTTGATTTGAACCTATCATTACGTAAAAACGGAAGATGGGATCCCACCAACGCCAAGGAATTATTTCAGTACAGTATCCAAAAAGGTTACAGATTTGCTGGCATTGAATTGGGTAATGGTAGGTATATTTGAATAGATTCTTTGGTATTCACTTGTGCATTATATTAAATAATTAACTACTGTAGACAAAAACAATGTTCATTTATTCAGCATAAATGCTTCCTATAAATTCTTTGATTTTATTGGCGAATAAAATCTAGGATTCCGCTATATATACCTTTGTTGATTATTTGAAGGTCTTCAAATGTAAGTGGGTAAGACTCTGGCTCGCTATAGCTTGGAGGTCGGGTGTTCGATCCCTGCATTGGCCGAGAAAGTTTATCCTGATTTTACAGCGTGGTTCCCCCTTGTCAGTGATGCAGGAAGGGACGAAAAACCGAGGTCCCGTGTACACATTCACGTGCACGTAAAAGATCCCTTGCTAGTTAGAATTCGATATAAGGGTAGACCGTGTAGTGCCGCTGTCCGGGCAAAATTTCCCTCATACCACACTCTATGGCGTTTGCCCGTCTCCATTAGCTCAGTTTGGAGCAGAACAGTAGGACGTTAAACCCTATTTCATTTCATTTCATGAACGATTGTGGTGTTTTAATGGCATTCTGAAATATGAAACTTTATCAAAAGTCTTCTAGAAATATACAGGGCGTTGCGCGTTTAGAGCCATGTGAAACTTGCTTAGACTTGTCGTGAACCGGAAATAGTATAACTCCGGAAGTGCAAGTGCAACGCCACTAGGCTTATACAACTCCTTATACCCCCAATTGGGAGCCACGGTGGCTCAGTGGGTAGGACATTGGCTCGCTAACCCGGAGGTCCCGTGTTCGATCAATGCGTTGGCCAAGAAAGTTTATCTGGATTTTCCGGATGGGACGGAAAACCGGGGTCCCGTATACTCATTGGCGTGCACGTAAAAGAACATTTGGCCGTTGGATTCGAAGTAAGAGTAGACCGTAGCGCAGCTGTCTGGGCAACATTTCGCTCATATCACACTGCATGGCATATGCTCGTCTTCATTAAAATCCAGTAGAAGTAGGGGGGTTGGATGGCTGAATAGTTAGCGTGCGCGCGCTGTATCATAAAGTCTGTCATTGAGTCAACTGGCGTGGTTTCGAATCCCCGGTTGTACGTGACAAGGAGTAGGGTCGCCTGTCCAACCTCGTGGGTTTTCTCCAGGTCCTCCGGTTTCCTCCCACTGCTAAAGACCCCTACGCGCAAGCGAATTATGTAAATAAAATTAAACCATATATTAGTCCCGAAATGACCTAGTTTGTGTCGAGTGGACGTTAAACCCCATTTCTCTCTCTCTCTCTGTCTCTCTGTCTCTCTCTCTCCAGTAGAAGTAGAACAGCGGGACGTTAAACTCCGTTTCATTTCAATTATACCCCCAATTGCAGCCGCGGGACAACCCTAGTGAAGCTAATAACCCTGTATAAAGGAATAGACAGACTGACATGCGAAATTCACAAATATATATAAATCTTTTATTTTACCCTAGAAATGGAATATAACAAAGACACACACGTAACAGCTCAACAGTCAGCACAAGATTTTGTTACATTGAAACAAGTAATAAACTCCATGCCAGGTTTATCGCATCCTAAAATCTATGGACCGGCCGTTGCTGGAATATTCTATCAATCATTTACCTATGCTGAAGAGTAAGATATTTCTATAATCATGGGCATATATACCGCTGCTGTTTTATTTAAACAGTGGACATCGATTTATTTTAAAACAACCAATCGATCTTGGTGTGGCTAACCCTAGGCTGAAAAATCGCAAGAACCCTGGAACTGGGACATTATGTTCAATGATTCTTGTCACACCCTTTGACTTTTGTTCCCATAGACAAAATATATTTGGAATTTTTGGTTATGTTCGATGTCCACAAAAACGAATATGGTTGAAATCTGCTTGCATTATACAAGAACATTACCCAAAATCGGTCTCTGGTTGGAACGATGCAGTGTCTCTCTAAGGTGTATATAGTCCTTCGGATGAGACGAAAAACCGAGGTCCCGTGTATACATTGGAATGTACGTAAAAGATCCCTTGGCAGTTGGAATTCGATATAAGAGTAGGCGATAGTGCCGCTGCCCGGGCAAAATTTCCCTCATATCACACTGTATGGCTTATGTCCGTCTTCATTAGCCCAGCATAGGCGCAGAACAGTAGGACGTTAAACCCCATTTCATTTCATTTCATTTCTTAGGTTTATAATGCGATCATATATGGATAATTCAAGAGGATGATAATGAAAACTCTTATATTTCAGTTTCTTGAAAGCTGGTGGAGCAAACAATGTAGATGTATTAACCTATCACCAGTAAGTATTTTTTATATTGTGAAACAGCTATTACACGACTGGGAAACGAGACGTTATCGGGTTTAAACCATATGCGGGCTAAGGAAATGTGATATTAAATACATATTACTTAAAAGGCTCTTAGTTCAGATATTATAAAAATTATTTGAAAGAAAATGCTAGAGAAATGGAATGAATATATTATAATGGGCAAAATATATCGATAGGTCGCTGTGTTTAGTTTTATTCTGATGCTTTCTTTCACTTGGCTATCTGGCAATACTTTGAACTTTAAATCATCGAATTTCTGACTATTCAACAAAATATATCCCAAAGGTCTGGGTTCCTTTTAATACTTACCGTATTGGATTATGGCCCCTGATTGTGTAAAAAATAGCCCTTTTCTTAGCTTGTTTTCTGTCCATCTCTTGCCAAGTGTGGACGTAACTTACATGGCAACCCATTTGTTTCGTTTGGCAAAACATTTTGAATATCAAAATTATATATATTATAATGTAGTTTCCGGAGAATGTCTTGTTTACATGAACCTGCCCTTTAAAGTCCTGTTTTTCATCACATTTGGTTGAGGCCTTTTAGATCCCCAGTTTGTTTTCAGACGTAGACTTTTATAAACATCTCATTGATGTAGTTTAGGGATGTGTACATTTTTGTAATTAGAAACTGATCTTTACTCTTTCCTGTTTTGTCAAGTTTAAAAAACAAATAAGTAAAATTATACATAGAATAAATATTGGATCTTCCTTCTAGTTACTACACTAGCGGCCCAAAGGCGACCGTTGAAATGTATCATGACCATAAGGTTCTAGACACACTGAAGGCTGGATTAACTAGTGTCATGAATGCTAGAAATAAATATGCCCATGGTAAAACTGTTTGGTTAGGTGAAACATCAGCAGCTTATAGCAGTGCTGCGGGAGATCTGAACAGACTGTATGTAGCTTCCTTTCCGTAAGTACATGTTTTACTACACTGTACAATAGGCCTTAAACTATTTAACGTATAAATACATATCCCCATGAATATTATATCAAGAAATTTTGAACATGCGTGTTTATCAACTTCCACGGCGAGAAGTTGGGGCGATAGGACCCGGATAGTTGAGGGGCGATGGAGCGATAACTCGAGGTAAAAATCATCTCGTGTTGTCGGGGCGAGATCCTCGGATTATTGTCCCGTTTCCTCGATTTACTCTCTCTCTCTCACTCCCCCTCTCTCTCTCAGATACATAGATAAACAGTAGAATTCTCCTGAAACATATCGTGTACGTTTACAAAATTAAAGCACCACAACATTTAGCCCACGTCCAGGATTCCTTTCCGACTAGAGAATATAGTTAAATTATGATTCTAATAAAACAAGAAAATAATACTTAATCTACTTTAATGGTGTTTTGCAGATGGTTGGATAAATTAGGTGTTGCAGCTTTGTATGGTGTAAAGGGTCTGATGAGACAAGCTCTTTATGCTGGTTTAGTTGATGAACATACTAACCCTAGAAATGTTAGTAATACCATTAATTTTGAGAAGAGCAAACACTTTTAACGGGGGAAAAAGAGAAAATCGTGTTAATTCAGTTGAAACCAAATATAAATACAACGGACAAATACAGTAATTGACATTCTAAATAGCATTTTCGTATGGCAGGTTGAACCATAGCAATTTTATTTAATAACCAATTTATTTCTCCCTATTTTTTAGGATTACTGGGTGACACGAATGTACAAACAGCTTGTAGGCGATCGCGTTTTCAAACTGAACGGCAGTCCAAATGTAAACCTTCGTTATTATGCTCATTGCACCAGATATCCCAGGTACGTATCTTAATATATGGTTCTATCAATAGGAAGTCTTACAGAATGGAATATGTTACGTTGTGATTCTGGTTATTATTACACAATGGGTGGACAAGGACAGTTGTCTAGTCGTTCGGATGGGACGAAAAACCGAGCTCCCGTGTACACATTTGCGTGCACGTAAAGATCCCTTGGCAGTTGGAATTCGATATAAGAGTAGGCCGTAGTGCCGCTGTCTGGGCAAAAGTTCCATCATAGCACAATGTATGGCGTATGCCCGTCTTCATTAGCCCAGTTCGGAGCAGAAAAGTAGGATGTTAAACCCCATTTCATTTCATTTTATACACAATGGGTATAAAATGGGTATTGTTTTTCTAGTGTAACTCTATGAGGATATTCTAAAGGTATAGGGAATGCGTTATAGGTAATAGTAAATGCAGTAGGCTACAGGTATAGGCTATAAAAAAGATAAAATGAAATGGAGTTTAACATCCTACTTTTCTGCCCTGAACGGTAATGAAAACCGGCATACACCTTACAGTCTGCTATGAAGGAAAGTTTGTTGTCTGCTCCAAACGGTTAATGAAGACAGGCATACATCTTACAGTCTGTTTTAATGGAAATTTTGCGCGGACAGCGGCGCTATATATGACCTACTCTAATATCGAATGACAGCTGCCAAGAGATCTTTTACGTGCAGGTAAATGTGTACACGGGACCTTGGTTTTTTGCACCATCCACACGACTATAAGTTGTCCCTTGACAGACCCTCTATCCTTCCCCACCAACATGGGGGAACCATGCTGGAAAATCCCGATGGACTTTCTCGAAAACAGGACCTCCAGGATAGCAACGTCTTGCGCACAAAGCCACCATGGATCCCCTAGTAAACGAAGTGTAACACAGTTTGAATCGTTGTTGGTTACAGTAAAAGATATGTTATCATATATGTGATGTGTTATAGGTTTTAGTAAAGGAGGTATTGGCGGTATCTAATATTTTAGTTCTTTATGATAACAAATATAAAAAAATATAATATAAAACACAAATTTATATGGAAAACAACCACTGACTTTATTTCACGCTACGTTTCAACAAGTTCATCTTGTCGTTCTCAATTGAGAAAGTCGGTGATTGTTTTCCATATAAATTTGTGTTTTTATATGATATGTTCAATTACTAAATGCTGTATAAGGATTTAATAACACTTAATATGTTATGTCGTAGTAAGAGGAAGTGTCATAATATTTGACTTTTGTAGTTATGAGTTATAATAAAGAAAGTGATATGTGATATATTTTAATATCACATGCTTGTGTTATATTTTAGTCCCTTGGGTTACGCTAAAGGAAGTGTGACTGTATATTTAATGAATCTAGGAAGTAGTGCAATAACTGTTAATATTAATGGTGCCAGTAACCAACATCTGTATATGCTATCTCCTGGAGATAATAACGGTCTGAGATCAGCGTGAGTAATTCTATACTTTTTATTTCCTGATTTATTCTGTCAGTGCTTATTCTTTAATTACATTATATATATTTCTAATAATGCACCGACGATTGAATTCTTATGGTGTATGGAGGAGAATCGCTGCGAAAATACTAACGTGGTAAACCGGCCTTTTCATGCGATAGAGGATGTTGGATAAGTACTAAAATAAGTACGAATCTATAATTTAAATGCAGATAAACTCTTGAATTGAATATCGACTTCGTGGATCATTGTTTCAAAAATTCATGACCAGGGAACAGCTTTTGCAGTGGGTGGTAATCAAATGTAAAACTGTGTCTCTGATTAAGGAGGATGGGACGAATTTTTTCTGTGCGCATTGTTTTCAAATATAGTTTTGAAATACTCTTAATGCACTTTGTTATTGTCGTTCACAACGGAAGTAAAAAATAAATACGTCTCTTGTTGAAACACAAACTTTTGTTTTCAACATTCATATCTTTAAAATAATTTTCTTCAGGTACATAAAACTGAATGGCAATGTACTCAGGATGACAAGTGATTCCTATATACCACAGTTTACTCACGTGCAACACAGAGGATCTGTAAGGGTGGAAGGTTATAATATGGGTTTTATCGTTTTAACTGATATCAGAAAAGTAGAATGCCTGTAAACATAATACCTGTAATAATAAAGTTTCGAAAATATATTCACGTTTCAGGTTGTAAATCATCGGACTATTTCCATACTCCCCGCAGTGTTTCGTTTGATTAGAGCTAGTCCCACCAAATACTGCTGTAATGGAAGCAAATTTCTGTTCCAAATTATGACTGGTCAATAGTCCGATTAACAACCAATGTCATTTTGCTGTACTTGAAATATATTTGATTTTTTTTTAAAACAATATTCAGGTTGTCTGAATGGGATTGGGGAACAGGCATAGCCTATGTAAAACCCCTCTCCCTAAATAATTTGTATATATATATATATATATATATATATATATATATATATTTGATTTAACGGGAATAATAGACACACTCCCTCAAAAGCTCAAGTATCAAAAGCCAATCCAGCAATGGGCAGAGAGAGATTTCTCGGGTCATTGCTTCAGGAATATGAACTATTTCAGTCTATTTGGTTTCGTTATTTTCATAGAAACTGATCAATGCAGCTATTTCTCGTCACAGTTATGGGACATGCAAGTGATAAAAAAAACCCATTAAATCTTTGGGATATTAATTGCGCATGTACCAATGTACATGTGCTATTCTGAAATGCTATTCATCTGGGACCGATTGTGCAAACCTGGAGTTAACAATCTGATTAAAGTACAGATCTATATTTCGTTTCGTTTTTATGCTTTCGATGGCCTACACTACATGAAGACTGATTATTGTAATAGTTTACTCTCTGAAATCCCACAAGCAGTTTCCGGCGTGGTTCCCCCTTGTCAGTGATGCAGGACGTTAAACCCCATTTCATTTCATTTCATTTCATTTCCCACAAGCAGTTCTAGCCAAGATCTACTCGTTACCTGCTGAAGCACGAATCAGATACAAAATACTATCATAAGTGTATAAATGTCGCAATAACGCAGATTCTTAATAGTTGTATGAACTCATAAATGATTACAACCCTATTAGACCCCCTCATTCTCAAAATAATCAGTCCCCAGTTGTTCCAAGATATAACTTAAAGTCATATAGGTATAGGTCCTTCAGTTCATCTGGCCCTAGATTATGGAATAAACTTCCACAACAGATGAAGAATCAACAGACTTTTATGTTTCGACAGTTTTACCAGCAGAGCTATTACTAAAGCGTTTTGAGCATGTGTCAACATGGATAATTATAGGACTCTATATAAAACCATATTAGTATTATTAAAAATGTTGGGGTAAAAACATGAACAATCTATGGAGGCTGCTCTACAAGACGGCTCCATAGGTTCTGCGTTTAAACAGGGCAAATAATATTCAGCCTGCCTGTAAATATATACAAAATATTTGAAAGTAACAATATGCACGTAATTTGTAGCCTACCTATCATGTCATCTTCGATTACATTCTCACGATAACAGTTTTTATTTTCAATTAACGACAAAGCACACTAAGTATTATTTTTCGGAGAATATCCGCGATGTACACGGTCCTTTCATTCAACAATACTACTACAATGGCACAATTATAATTTTAATAAAACTAATACCACCTATCTCAAATTGCAGTCAAATGAATACAAAGTGACAAATAAGTGTAATATTGAGTAGAGTGACTCTTTGGTAAGATATGACCTTGATTGTAACGCCCCACCCACTTACCAGCTCATATGTCTGAAGGCATTGGTAAAATGAAAGCTATGGGGACTGGTATCAGATGTTAGTATATGCGAATCAAGTAAGCAGTCCTGTCTCATGCAAGATATCTATCAGAAGATAGTCTCAGTGTTGAAGACTACCGACCGAGTTTTGTTTTGAGAATTTCATATATTTTAATAAGCGCCGCTCGTGTCTGAGATCTGTACCTAAGATTACTCACATGTGTAACGCCTCTTTGCTTAGGATGCCTCACAATTGACGAAAAATACTATTTAGATGCACATATTGGAGTAACAATATGATTGACAATCCTAATCTTCTACATTACATGTACAAGAATAAAGGTGAAATCTAATAGACACATACTTGCAAATATAATTCTTCTTGACATCATACGTATCGTAGGGTGAAGGTCCCTCTGGGTATAGCCCAGCAGCAGCCAATTTAAGGCTTAAACAAATTACTGCATACTTTCCAACACAATCTCTTTCAGCTGAAAAGTTTATCATCAGAATAAAGATAAATGAACCAGATACAAGACCAATCACCAATTTAAAAATTGATTACACAATACGTTTAAAGTGTGGCTGTTACAGCCATGCACGTCGATGTTATTTGAATATTTCTGAAATGATTATTGAATCATAATTTGGCTTTGTATAGGCCGCCCAGAGAGTTGTGTATTCAGGTCAGGATCGTTACTAGCTCAGAGCGACGAGGGGGGCGGGAAGTGTTTCCAGGGGTGCTGTAAAATTGACGTAACCAGATGTCAGCCTTTTTACGCAATAAATATGTTTTATTTATCGTCTCTACTGATATGGTAATACCTTTCCCCCACTCCACAAATTATATGAGTAACCTATATTTTTAGACCCGCGTGTAAACCCTGCGGACGTTTGGGCGAAATAGCTAGGAAAGACTTCTTGGGTATTAAAAAACAATATGTTTTATAATACTTAAATTGTATATGTTGAAATGCTTGTAGATATTATTTTATAAACTTAGTGTTTGTGTATCGGACATGAAGTACGTCTATGAGACCAGATAGTGTCACCATGACGATTTTGAATCCTGTCACTATGATAAGTGTCTTATAGACGATTTGGAAGCGTATACCAGGATAGTGTCATTTGGCCCCGCAATGCAGGATAGTTCATTTTGGCTTGCACGGAGAAACGTTTTATTCTAAAATCAAACATCGTCTCCACAGTCCATTTATCTCAATCTGTCAGTTAAATTTGAATTCTTACCAATACAAAATTCCTACTGTTTCACACAATGAACCCATAAATGACTGCTAACAAAAATAATTTCATTTCCCTTGTCACTTTTAAATGAATACATACTGCTGATAAATTTCAACTTACTAGGTCCGTCAATACAGAGTAGATCAAATGCTTCTTTATAATTCCTTGAAGAAGCTACCAGTTTCTTTTCGTTAACTGATGCACATCCTCTAAGTAGGTCAATGAAACAACCCATGGCTTTCTTATAGTTGTTTTTCATTGAACTGGAATTGATAATAGAAGGATTTGTAATACAATAATCATCCATTTGGGCTATGGAGGTCTCGAAGTAGACAATTGCATCGTGTATGTTTAAATTAGTAATTCGTTGGAAATTCATACCCTTGTGATGGCCAATAATGCGCCGTGTACCATTTTCTGGTATCCCCAGTGGCCTAGCTATTTCCGTTCTTCTCCACTAACCTCTGGGTTAATCTATTGGGTTGGGGTTGGGTGGGGGCGTTTTCAAGTTATCCGCCCTTGATGATTGTTCCATCGACCAAACCCATAAATCGTTAATTGTAAGCCGATAAATCGTTAGTTGGCAAAGGGAAGTAACTCTCATCGGGTAAAGTAAGCAAAACACAAAGCCTCCCCTTCAAGAGTTTAATTATACTAAATGCATATTTATTAACAAACAAATTATTTTATAATATGTTCATGAAGTGTGTGAGTTAGTTGTATTTTACGTCCGCTTCCACCGAGGTGATATCGCAGACAATAACCTGTTATGTATACATGGTGCAATATTTTACAATGTGATTAGTGAAAAAACGGATTAAAGAATTATTAGATATTTATATATATGTACAGAAGACAGTAAAAGACGGGACGAAACGTTTTATGACAAGTGCAAAATGAGATGAGTGCGAGCGGGTACAGACATACAAAACGAATATGGGAGAAAATATACATATTTTAAATAAGCTAAACATACTACAGATTTTGATAATACAATTAAATATAAATGAATTAGAAATATATACATTATTTACATAAAGCATTCAGTAAATGGACGTGAATATGTTTATCTACCCTTATAAAAACGAACTCGAAACGACTGGTTTGTAAATTGTTTTTTGATTGGTTCGTAGACTTTAGCTACAATCGATGCAAGAGCAGATACTTTACCCAGGGTAAGGTGGAATAGAACGGAATGAATACACTGGGGATACCGAAGATGTCTAAATCCCAAAAAGTAGGGGATATTTGATTTTGGGGGCATAATACTAAAATATGCAAATGACTACGAAAAAAGTCACTATAGAACCTAACAGAAGAAACATTTCCAGTTACATGTGACGCCCAAACGCACCAATAGCTACCGCATGGAATGCAGGTGATGCTTGGGATCATCATGGGGGTCCAACCCAAGATTTGCACGACTCTGACTTTGAATGTTACAGTCATTGTGGCATTGAATTCCAGGGTGGAAACATCAGTTTAATTGTTTTAGTGACCAGAAAACAAATTTTGATATGCGTCGGCTTACCCAAAATGAAAGGTTACGTGCCCTTGGCATGCTACAGATCGGCACAACACAGGCGGTTGTGGCGCGGACGATGAATGTTTCTCAGTCTGTCATAAGCAGGCTATGGTCCAGATACCGTGATACACAATCTGTACAGGACAGACCACGCTCAGGTCGACAACTCAAGCCCAGGATCGATTTATCCGTACCTTGGCCTTGAGAAATCGTGTCATCACAGCAAATCAGATCAGCGCTCGTCTTCAAACAGACACTGGTGTGAGAGTGAGTGGCCAGACGATTCGGATTCGACTGCATAGGGGTCACCTTCGCGCCCGACGTCCTCGCGTGATCCATTGTTTGAGAGATCATCACATTCAGGCAAGACGTCGTTGGTGTAGGGATCGTCAACACTGGGATAATCGACGCTGGAGCAATGTGATGTTTTCAGATGAGTCAAGGTTCACTGTTGATTTTTTGGACAGATGTAGGAGGGTGTGGCGTCGTCGAAACGAGCGCTTCCAAGACGTTAACGTCATCAGACATGATCGATTTGGGGGTGGTTCTGTTATGGTGTGGGGAGGCATCACTGTTGCTGGAAGAACGGCTTTACATGTTGTTGCAGGGCGTGTTACAGGCCAGTACTACCGGGACAACATCTTGGCAGTCCATGTTGTGCCGTTCGCACGACGTCATGGCCGCCGTTTCATCTTCCAGGATGACAACGCAAGATGTCACAGGGCCAGGATCGTTACAGGTTACCTCCAACAACAGAACATCACCACATTACCTTGGCCAGCACTGAGTCCCGACCTCTCCCCCATCGAGCATGTCTGGGACATGCTTGGACAGAGGTTACGTCAACGTCAACAACGTCCTGCCAATGTCCAAGCACTTGCTGCTGCGTTGCAACAGGAATGGGACAATCTGGACCAAAATGACCTTAGACGTCTCATTAGGAGTATGCCACGTCGGATCAATGCTTGTTTGGCAAACAGAGGAGGATTTACCCGTTACTGACTTGGTTGTGATGCTGTGGTAACTTTGCTGTTTGACCCCGGGTATCATTTTACCCTTATAATGGTCAGTCTGTGCCTTACTTAGTCTAACGATCATTTGGAATAAATCGATGAATGTGAACTTCATTTCATTTTGTCATTTGTTTCTTCGTCAGTTTCATTAGGTGACTTTAATAACACTTAAAAATCAAATATCCCCTACTTTTTTTGAATAGTATATTATAGCACGATGGTTGATCACCTTTGTTGTCAGCCCAGGTTTTAAAAAAACCCAGACAATTCCTCTCAGTTTCATTTTCTAAAATATGAAACAATGATGTCCAATGCTATTTTTATCTTGCAGAGACAAAAATTAGCTCCGGTATTATGTATCATCGGACTTAGCCACGTCCAGTTTTCTGACAGACATTTTGAAAACATTACCAAGTTCTTAATTTTGCACAAGTAAATGGAAACCATTTTACTTCAATAATTTGAACCTTAACAGTCATATTTGAATGCATAAGTCCAATGTAGAGAACACCCTCTTAATACTGGATGGAGGATTAGAGGAACATTTACACCCTTAGCATATATATTATTTAGACTTTTAGCTTATTACATGTGGCTAAGTGGGTAAGACGCTGTCTCGCTAGCCTGGAGGTCGGGTGTTCGATCCCTGCATTGGCCGAGAAAGTTCATCCAGATTTTCCGGCGTGATTCCCCTTGTCAGTGATACAGGACGGAGGGTCTGACAAGGAAAGATGTCTAGTCGTTCGGATGGGACGAAAAACCGAGGTCCCGTGTACACATTGGCGTGCACGTAAAAGATCCCTTCGATATAAGAGTAGGCCGTAGTGCCGCTGTCCGGGCAAAATTTCCCCCATAGCACACTGTATGGCGTATGCCTGTCTTCATTAGCCCAGTTCGGAACAGAACAGTAGGACGTTAAACTCCATTTCATTTCACTTCATTTTAGCTCATTACATGATAACTGGACATAGAAAGTGAGCATGTATTGTGAGCGATGGCTAAGATATTTACCAAACGGATCAAGGAGATAACATATTAAAACGGAGTTTAATGCTAATGAAACTGAGCATACACCACGCTATGTATTTGGGGGAACATTAAGTGCCTGTCATACCAGACCCCTTCCAACACTATTCTAAGCCACCATGGTCCCAACTCTTTAAAACACGGAATATCCTCCCAACTGACAGACGACAGAGTTAATATTTTTAATATTTATTAATAAATACCCGCATATTACAGTTGTATTTTGAAGGAACAACAGCTGTACGTGTGGCAGTGTTCGTATACCCATTCCTACCAGACCATTATTTGTATTACATTCTTTAACTTTGGACTGAAAGTCGGCACAAGAACTGGTATCCAAAAGTCCATTAACAGCATAACCTGAAAAGCAAAAATACGAATTAATATCATTATTATTACATCGGTTTTAATGTTCAAAATGGTAACTTTAAATGCCCAATGACACTCCCAACATCCGGTTCAGAATTAATATGTTGACAGAGAGACTAATGAAGATAATCACTAAAAAAGTTGTCATATATGACCAATAAAAAGACGATTCGTCTACAAGAAAACTTTATATGTCTTTATGATTAATTTAAAAGATAAATCAGTAAAGATGGTTCACTAGAAATTGTATACGGATCTATGGACGATTGTAACACTGTTCATTAAATGTATGCGTAGTAGAGGGATGCATCACAAAAAGAGATTGAAAAAACATTCCTCCACCACAGCAAGGTGGATTATAATGCGCTGCATTTATTTTGTAAGAAAGCAACGGGGATCCAAAATTAACCTAAAATGTTACAAATTCAAGAAAAATGAAATAAAAAGGGTGGGGTTTACCTTGCTGCGGTAGATGCATGTCCAGAACTTTTTTTTAAATCAACATTTGTTCGCAAAAATTTGATTAGAAAACAGGCATGATCCTATACAAATCGTAAATATATATTTTAAAATTATGGAAGTAAACAGGAGGCTCAGTGCGTATTCTACGCAAAATTTTACTCTAGAAAAGTTGGGCCTGGTATTGTGCCCTGGTATTGAGCTTAAGACATTGCGTAATATATTGTAAAAACATTCGGGCCTCACGGCCCTCATGTTGTTACAATATATTACTTAATGTCTCGCTCTCGACCATTAAACAATACTTAACATCTATTTCTATGTAACCCCTCACTGGTTTGCATGAATAAAATGAATAGTCAGACCTTTTATGCCCCTTAACATGCGTAAAAATAAAACAGATATTTGGGTAACGTCCTTGTTGAACAAGTATGCCAATAATAATATACTATTCAAAAAAAGTAGGGGATATTTGATTTTGGGGGCATAATACTAAAATATGCAAATGACTACGAAAAAAGTCACTATAGAACCTAACAGAAGAAACATTTCCAGTTACATGTGACGCCCAAACGCACCAATAGCTACCGCATGGAATGCATGTGATGCTTGGAATCATCATGGGGGTCCAACCCAAGATTTGCACGACTCTGACTTTGAATGTTACAGTCATTGTGGCATTGAATTCCAGGGTGGAAACATCAGTTTAATTGTTTTAGTGACCAGAAAACAAATTTTGATATGCGTCGGCTTACCCAAAATGAAAGGTTACGTGCCCTTGGCATGCTACAGATCGGCACAACACAGGCGGTTGTGGCGCGGACGATGAATGTTTCTCAGTCTGTCATAAGCAGGCTATGGTCCAGATACCGTGATACACAATCTGTACAGGACAGACCACGCTCAGGTCGACCAAGGGCGACAACTCAAGCCCAGGATCGATTTATCCGTACCTTGGCCTTGAGAAATCGTGTCATCACAGCAAATCAGATCAGCACTCGTCTTCAAACAGACACTGGTGTGAGTGTGAGTGGCCAGACGATTCGGAATCGACTGCATAGGGGTCACCTTCGCGCCCGACGTCCTCGCGTGATCCCTTGTTTGAGAGATCATCACATTCAGGCAAGACGTTGTTGGTGTAGGGATCGTCAACATTGGGATAATCGACGCTGGAGCAATGTGATGTTTTCAGATGAGTCAAGGTTCACTGTTGATTTTTTGGACAGACGTAGGAGGGTGTGGCGTCGTCGAAACGAGCGCTTCCAAGACGTTAACGTCATCAGACATGATCGATTTGGGGGTGGTTCTGTTATGGTGTGGGGAGGCATCACTGTTGCTGGAAGAACGGCTTTACATGTTGTTGCAGGGCGTGTTACAGGCCAGTACTACCGGGACAACATCTTGGCAGTCCATGTTGTGCCGTTCGCACGACGTCATGGCCGCCGTTTCATCTTCCATGATGACAACGCAAGATGTCACAGGGCCAGGATCGTTACAGGTTACCTCCAACAACAGAACATCACCACATTACCTTGGCCAGCACTGAGTCCCGACCTCTCCCCCATCGAGCATGTCTGGGACATGCTTGGACAGAGGTTACGTCAACGTCAACAACGTCCTGCCAATGTCCAAGAACTTGCTGCTGCGTTGCAACAGGAATGGGACAATCTGGACCAAAATGACCTTAGACGTCTCATTAGGAGTATGCCACGTCGTATCAATGCTTGTTTGGCAAACAGAGGAGGATTTACCCGTTACTGACTTGGTTGTGATGCTGTGGTAACTTTGCTGTTTGACCCCGGGTATCATTTTACCCTTATAATGGTCAGTCTGTGCCTTACTTAGTCTAACGATCATTTGGAATAAATCGATGAAAGTGAACTTCATTTCATTTTGTCATTTGTTTCTTCGTCAGTTTCATTAGGTGACTTTAATAACACTTAAAAATCAAATATCCCCTACTTTTTTTGAATAGTATATTTAATATAAAGAAGACGGTGTGTGAAATTGAATACGTATGTATGACATCATCATCATTTATACATTTGGATTATGACGCCACTTTTAAATTTTTTAATAACCCGAAGCCTTTATATGAAGGGTGTTTGATGTTTCACCGGTGTCCTCTTACAAGATAAATCTAAAAATATCAGATAAATTTAAACATAAAATGGTCCCGTGATGCATAGGCGTTTTCCTGCTATAATTCCAGCCCTCGAATACAGTAACTTCAATATGGTCCAATATATCCTACCTTAGGCGACTTACCTGAATCCCCAAACAACCGGACTCGCGGCCCCCGAGAAAGTTTTGAAAATTTAACCACCGCAAATGCGTTTTTTCTGCTTTTCTAGCCTTTGAATTAAGAAACTTCGAGGTTTCCAATCGGTTTGCAACCGAAAACCCACTCTATGCCGACGTGAATTCCAACCATCAAATCAGACTTACAGCTGCATTCACACATAATAACCGATGCCCGTAAAATGTCGAAAAAAGTAGAGTGGTTTCAGACTAAAAGCTTTAATCCATAGTAAATTCAGTACAAATTCGTGGTATTTAATTAAAAGAAAAGTACAATTAGTGTTTTATTAGATTTCGGCCACTTTACTTTGCCAACTAGATGAAATAATAATGTTTGTTTTCATTTCAACTGTCTGCCCGAAAAGTCAGATTGCCCGAAAGTTTGGGGGGGGGGGGCAGTCGCCTGCTTGTTGATGAGTTGCTTGTCGATGAAAGAAGATGACGGTTAATCTATCAAGAACAACAGGGCTCCTTTGGTTAGAATTATAAGATAGCTACATAGCTTATGTTGAAAGATTACGCGCCGTTTTCCAAAATTTTGCCGAAATGTTTTGAAGGACATAGACTACCTGTCCCAAATTGAAAATCCAGAAAGCCTAAGGCAAATCATAGCAGGTTTACCCCGTGACACAAGAAAAGGATGGCGAAGCAATGTAGATAACATTACCGTAATGTTTGATAGAGAAATCAAGTAAAAGACGTTGTTGGGAGAGAATCAAGAAATTCCAACCATCTAGTATTTGGCGATATCAGTGATAAGAGAAAATCAGACGTAGAAAACAAAATCTAATATACTAGTAATCAAATAGGAATTAGTTTTGCTACCCTTGCTGATAGTTATTGTGAGTGTAATCATTACTCAAATGGGAAGAATATGTTTACCCAACATGTTTGTCCTCAATAGTCTGAATACAGACCAAATGTTTTTTGTCTCCTTTGTAAAGGTTGTCACTATATAGACGAATGCAGAGCAATGAACTAATTAAGAAACATAAGAACATGTGCAAGAGGCGCAGCAAACGACACACAACTGTGGTACATCAAGCATAGTATGCGGTTATAAATGGTCTTATCAACACAAATTCCTAAGCCATTAGCTTGTCAATATTAGCTGTAAGGATCAAGTCACCTGATGGTTGATACAGTCTCAATGGCTAAGCAAGACTCGAATTCAACCTTCTGTACAGATGACATAATCGAAAAATTGGGAATAAAAGGCAATAAAACTCAATTTCCTCTAACTTCCAAGGAAACGGAACATAGTCCACAGAAAGCAGTATTTTATAAACAATGTTTTTATTCAAATTTGAATGCCCATCCCATCTCACCATCTGATGATAAGGATAAAGCACACGACCGTAACCCTTCTTTCATAAAAAAGTGATTTTACAATTTTAGGTTGATGAAATTTGTTTCCATGAAAACACAAAAAATATAGATCCAAGAAATTTCTGATAAGCAAAAGGAATATAGGTTGATGCGTGTACAAAGTTTCATAAACTTTTACGATTAATGAGATATACTCCGGGAACAAAATTGTACACCAAAAACTAAATAACATCTGTTTCCATGGAATTATTACATCCGAGAAATTACAAATCAGCTAAAGGCACAAGAACTATAATATGTAGAGATGTGTGCAAAGTTTCATGAAGGTATCTTGAACGATTTATGAGATATGCCCCGAAAACTAAATTGTACACCAAGAATAAAAATTCTAGAAATTCCTAAATAGCAAACGGCACAACTACTGCAATAGGTAGATGAATGTGCAAAGTTTCATAAAGATATCTTGAACGGTTTATGAGATATGCTCCGGAAACGAAATCAGGACGGACGGAGGAAATGTCATTATCCCTAACTTCGTTCGGCGCGGGATAATAATTTATTTGAAGGGCATTAGATAAGGCTAAACAAAGAGTTGACAGTTTTTGCTATAATAGTTTTAAAAAAGATAATGAAAAATGAATATGCTGAAAATTTCAGTCAAACTCTTCACTTTGAACTTAGATACTAACGATTTAATTTTAGGCTAGCCCCGATCGTCATTACTACCGTTGTTACGATAATTAACAAAGTCTCGATTATCTATTTTTACGGTTATTTCATTCACCACAAAACGTATTCAAATCCACTAAATATCGCAGGCATCCGGGGGCATCGAGAGTTTGGAACATAACAACGCTGCTTTTAATTGCGGTATAATGTTTAACCTTGATGTATATGTTCATATGCGCATGTCTTGGCTGAGTTTAATGAATATCATTATCCGCTAAAGCTAAGCAGAGTTGAACAATTTTGGACAAGATAACTTTGATTCTAACTGCATGTTAAAGAATGATGGAACTTAGTGTATAGTTTCAATACCAGGAAGTTCATAAACTTGCGTGGGTTCGATCGTGAACATTTCTGCTTAGACCAAGTAAAGATAATCAGTTTGATTGCTCGATACTTTTCAAAAAGATAAATGTGCAAATAATTAGTATCTGTCATCTATTTATATTGGGATTGCGGTGCGGGACACCAGCCTCGCTGTCGGATTGTGTTTTAATGAATCGCTACCATAACCACGCACCAACGTAACAACAAACCACAATGGGAGGAATAAAAATAATAACAATTCCTTATTAATGAAATCGAAAGTGAAAATTAATTTGAAGAATGCGGGTTTATTTTTCTGTCATAATTTGTAAAAAATAAATACTTCTAGATATGCCTTACATTAGTATCCGTTTAATTAAATTTAATGTTTTAATTTGCTTCCCGAAGTGTGCATTTATCTATATTACATTTTAATTTTATGTCCACGGATACAGCCTTACTCACTCACCCACCGCGGACCCCCTAGACATTTTAAAGCCAAAACTGAAATGGATAAAATATTTATCGCATTGAATTTATTAGATCACTTATTCACATCAGATTAACAGAATTTAGCACATTTTTACAAATAAATAAAAGCGAGTTAGCCATACATCTTTTCGAAATTTAAGATTAACATTAAAAGTGGCCGAAAGGTGTTAAAGAGCCTTTAATTCATACAATTAATCAATAAATTGCTAGTTCAACAACATTTTGTTATCGATGTAAGAGCGGCTAAAAATCTAACATAATTCACGTCAACAACGACGCTGAGAGAGAGAGAGAGAGAGAGAGAGAGGGGGGGGGAGAGAGAGAGAGAGATGTTTTAACGTCCACTCGACACAAAATAGATCATTTCAGGACAAACATATGGTTTAAAAATATATTTTTTTAAATGTTATTGAGTCTATATTCATTTTGGAGTTGATGTTTAGATTGTAAAATCCGAATTAATTGTTTTACTTAAACCTCATATGTACACAAACCTCATATGGCAAACTGTTGGTATGCACTTACCTCCATTAGCCAACAGTAATAAAATCTGAAGAAACATCCTGTAAAAGACCGTATTTCTTCGAGTAAAAGATTAAAACGTGCAGGTTACTTCGAAACGGTTGCTTCAAGTACAATTCGAGGGTTGTGCACAGGTTGGAGTCACATGAAGATATATGGCATTGTATTTATATTGAAACCAGTTTTAGTCTGAAACGAAAGGGGCGGTTACCAGAAAGATACGCCCACTTGAGGAGAATTAATAAAGTTTCCGGATGTTTTCTAGAATTTATTTCGCAAAAGGAAAAAAAAATTAATATTGCGAGCTTATTAATCCACACGGAAGTCTTCCCTAACAGTGATTGATTGTAGCGGTCTAGTAAATATTCACAACTGATCAGTGTGTAGAGTTTCAACTAAAACTACTGCAGTCTAGAATACAAAACAACAAAAAATCCGGGATCAGGTAACATAATTTTTTTATGTAATGAAGGTTGTCTGTATTCTTTTAGTATAAATTACATCCTTCTCCTGCACGATGAAAAGAGTCTAATCTTTCATAACGTTATATTTTGCTTCTTTTTTTTAGAAAATGTTACTTATTTGTTTATGTAATCTTGATATGGATGATATATGCAGAATTTGGTGACATTAAGAAATTTTACCTACTAGAATGAAAATAATTGAGGTGAAGTGGGGTTTTATGTACACAGTTAAAAATAATAAGGAAGTTTACACCAATTCGGGTGGCAACTAGTTGCCACCTAAATAGGGGTAACTCCTAGCCTTTAGTGGTGTAAACCGATAACACCCAACTAGTGTAGAACATTACACCAATTCAGGTGTAAACTAGTTGCCACTTCCAGTAGTGTAACCTGCCTGATGCACTCAGACAGTGTAATGTTACATATAAATAGTTTACACCCGTGGGTGTAGATTAAGCATTATCCACTCAAGGATGGTTTGTAAATTACACTTCCATTTTAATTATTACACCAACACGGGTGTAATTTGTTTTGTTGGATATTTATTTCAAGCCAACGACTTCTAAGTTCAGAAAACTTGAAATTGGCTATCGGTCTCCATGATAATTAGTATAGAGCGTTTAGCCCGACCCAGATTACATATAGCCTGTCGGCTACCGTGTTTCATTTTACAATGACATTAAATTGACAAATACCCATCAGACTGATTCAAATTCAACTGCTGATGGGCAATTAGACAATCTTGGCTGAATAATGTGGTTTATTTATTTATGTACCTCAACTGAATCAAGAATTATTAATTAAAGATACATTATGGGAGATAAGATAAAGAGATGGCAGTTCTCGCTATAATAGTTAAAAACTAGATAGTGTAAAGGTAATTTGCTGAAAATTTCAGTCAAATTGATCCACTATAAGCCGAGAAAGAAGCCGGTGAATTTTTTGCATAGTCTCGGTTATCATTACTAAAATAGGAATCTAATCCAGCCTACATCGAAGGCTAGCCTTGACATCGAGAGTTTATTATGGTCTGGATAAGTTAATTAATGTCTAATTGATAATTTAGATAACATTTCAGGCCTAAAGAAAGACTTGTAATAAGCAGATTTTGCTCTTGCATAATGCATGTTTAAGATTTTGTACTTGGTAATATTTTGGAACATTTACACGTCTTTAAGAGTATACATGCTAAAATAATCTATACTTTACTCGTTATGAGTAAACACTCTAAAATGAGTTATAGTTGTGTTACTAGTGCAATTAAAGCCATATTTAACAAAAAAAAACTTAAATTGGAGTACACAAATATTTTTGTAACGCATCTTATTCGTAGGAATGTTTCCCTAAAATAATTACACCTGTTGGTGTAAATGGAATGTAACGCTTGTATAGGGGTAGCTCAAACCAAACACCCATTAGCGGCTACAATTACACCTATCCTGGTGTTCAGTACTCATGAATATCGATTACACTTTTGCAACCCAATAAACGCTGTAAAATTAACGCTGTTCTATGATTTATTCCCCAATAATAGTTACACCCTTTGGTGTAAATGGAGTATAACACTGGTTGTAGTGTAGCTTATCCAAAACACGCCACAATTACACTTATTCAGGTGTTTAGTAGTCATTAATATCGGTTACACTTGTTAGGTGTAGTTCTTTTAGTCGGTTACCCTTGGAAAGGTATTACATTTAAACAAAGGTAGCGGTGGTGTAAAGTTTACACTTAATTTACACTGCTTATAGTTTTTAATTACACCCATTTTTAACAGTGTACTGTTTTTTTGCAACTGGGATAATACAGACTTGCATACGTCGTGTAGTTTTCTATGGGAAAGGTATTGCTCAGATAGCCGCGTTGCCGCCTACGCTTTGTAGAATTCCAACTGCCAAACCGTGTTTGAAGTACATGTCAACGTGTTTTAAAACAACAACGTGGTTTTTCACGCCATCCACTGATGATCTACCCTGGATCCCAAAATGGTCCGGATAATCGCGGTGACAAGTTCGTGAGCCAGTGAGTAATGGGCCATTTACACGGAGTGCGTACGTGACTACTGCCCAAACTCCCCCCTCCGGACATTCGGAGATGAAACTGGCACATAGACGGCACATTTGACCGTGTATGACATTTGACTTCACGATCTGGTTGGGTAATTACAATCGTTCACTTGAGCTATTTCCAAACATTCGCCCGAGAGGCAATCTCTATGAGAAAGACATTCCGACCACGTTCCGTTTAAATAGTAGATAAATCAATTACGGCCAGATATGCGCGGATTGTAAACGACCCTTCATACAGTTGCCGCAACCATACAATGGACCTGACGTACACAACACTCTTTGGGGAAGTTGAAAAACTTACAAATACCATATTTGGACCAGTGACAGCTAACAACAATACCAGCATCTTTGTCTACAGGATGAACTGCATAGTTTAAGCACAGCTAAAGTATCTGGCCATGTCCTTTTAAAATAATGTCACACAGAGTATATACATTTAGAGTCTAAATAAAGCACCCCAGTGAATATCTAAACTGGGGATATGTGAATGGGCATATAAGTATATAGGACACCAGAAAGAGAAGTAGGTAAGACGCTAGCTCGCTAGCCTGGAGGTCGGGTGTTCGATCCCTGCATTGGCCGAGAAAGTTCATCCATATTTTCCGGCGTGGTTCCCCCTTGTCAGTGATGCAGGACAGAGGGCCTGACAAGGACAGCTGTCTAGTCCTTCGGATGAGACGAAAAACCGAGGTCCCGTGTATACATTGGAAATCACGTAAAAGATCCCTTGGCAGTTGGAATTCGATATAAGAGTGGGCGATGGTGCCGCTGCCCGGGCAAAATTTCCCTCATAGCACACTGTATGGCATATGCCCGTCTTCATTAGCCCAGTATAGGAGCAGAACAGTAGGACGTTAAACCCCATTTCATTTCATTTTCATTTCCTATGCGGAACGTCTCTACCGTTTACCATGCGAAGGTGATCGAAAAGCTTAAAGCTCAAACTTCAAAATCTGAATCACCGATATACAAAATGAGATGAAATGTTGTTTAATGTCGTACAGTCCTGCTCCATCTGTTCTAATGAAGACGGACACGGGCCATACAGTGAGCTATGAGAGATATAAGAAAAATAATGTTAATTCAAACCCTCTTCATCCATTCTAGACCAAAAACCAACATAAATGGGCATGCAAAAGGGGAGAAAAGAGACACAGAGAATTGCTATAAATAGACGAACTACAATTTCTGCTCAGACCTCTGGTATGGCGGCAGGTGTATATATTTAACTATTTTTATTAAATGTAATTAACTGGACATAGCGGACTATAAAGATAAATTACGGCAATCAGTCGTGAGCTCGCCAACCAGACTGAATTGAAGAAAGTTTGCGTGATGTTACATAATGACAGATGTCAACTGTACGTTATCGTGCCATCTTGACATATGAAAGCAGAACTGCTTTTTATATCCTCCTGTCTGCTATCGACACCCAAATTGTCCTTATCATTATCATATAAACTTATGGCTGGCCTGCAAAGCAATTTGTACTGAAGGCATGATGTAGTATAGCCATCTGCATAATCTCTTCGATGATCCTTTATCTAGAAAGGGATTATAAGCAGAAATCATACTGAGATTATTCAGACTAGAGGAAGGCGTCTAGAAGTTAACTTGGGACAAGGCAGCGGCCATGTAAGTTATTTGGGAGTTGAAACCCAATGGTGTCAAACCAAGCTAGGACCATGGCTCCCTCAACACAAGCTAATTACGGAGTCTTTAACTAAAAGAATAGTAAAAGTAACGTTTGAAGTTAAACCAGTGTTGTCATAAAGAACTTTACATAAAGACCCAATACTGTAACAGTGGACCAATGACCGATATCCCCCTCCCCCACGGGTAATGACCTCACATCCACCACACAACAAAGTGCGAATTACTGACGTCGGGCAAAAACTACCACTCACACTATCGTTCAAACACGTTTTTATGGCCATTAAAAGGCTTGGGATGCCTTTGCACAACAGAAATTTAACGGGCCGTTAACAAATGACACGTTAGCTAGATAACGATCCGTTAGAGTTGGACGAATCGTTGAAATAACTTAGTTTTAAGCCACCGGCCACTGGTTATTTCAAGAAATCAGAAAAAAGAAGATTTGATTAAAACATGGCCTTGTATGCATACATAGATTTGCAGGCTACCAAAGACGGTGTACATAATGAAAACAAGTAAACGTACAGACCAAGGCATATATCTTGCCTACTAGTATACAACCCAGTGGCGGATTTAAGGGAGGGGGCTCTTTACTATTAAATCGATTAAATAAATCCTTAGGTGTCGATGCCTTCACCCATGGACCGTAATCCAGGCACTAACCCTGAACCAGTCAATGTAAAGGTCCATCTTACCGCAGGCCCGTAAGTTGTCGACATACATTGTCCGTGAATTTTACAGCACCCCCGAAAACACTTCCCGTCCCCCTCTTTGCTTTGAGCTAGTTACGGCCCTGTCTTACAGACACCCTTTTTTCGATAAGAATGCACCCACCCTGTACAAGGTAGAATATTGTCATTGACATGATATAATAATACTGATCTAATTATGATTACCTGTTTATCTATCTTCGTATAGACCTTGATCTATATAGGTGTATATATCAAACGTAAGT